TTCGATAGTACATTAAGTACTTTTATTGGAAAGGTTCTTCCTACCTCTTGTTCTTAGTTCAAGGGTTAGGAAACCGAAGTACATTAAGTCATGAGCATTTTTTAGCACTCTGAAAATCATTGCTACTTATGTTTATTATTGCCTACAGCTTTACAATTCCATATTACGGTTTTAGTAATATTAACCTTTTACTAAAATTTTCACATTGCTCTTAATCGAAGCGGAGACTACTGATGAGGAGACTACTGATGATTGTACCGGATTGACGGTTGTATTGAGCCCACACTCAGAAGCTGCGCTACCCTACTGGACTCCTGCAAACAGCTAACCGTTTGATTAGACGGGACAACTTAGTATGACTGCCCAACAGCAAGTTCAGCAGACGTTATTTTTTGTCCTAATCAAGTATGCTCCGACTAGTTGCATTTCGGACTCAGTTAAGGATGAGTAATCCCATCCAGCCAACAATTTTGTTCCTAAAATGCACATAGTCGATGTGGTGCCTGTTGGAGGCACAAAGACGCAAATCACCTAACTTAACTTTGATGATCACGTACTCGGTGGTTAATATTGACTTAGTACTCACAAGAAAAACGATGTGATTGTCCATATTAACAATCTCCTGCACCAGCACCAAGGCGCATCTTAAAGATCGTCGCCACTCATCCAATCGTGTGCAAACGTTGACCATTTCAGCAACTAATGCAAATCCACTGGAGAACATTTCTTACTCATGATCAGGTTCCGGAATAAACCAATTTTAGTTGCTTCAAACTACGCTGCTGGTAACGGTTTGATGATAACAAGCGTACATTCCCAAAGATTCCCACTAACTTTTAGGATTCGTTCCTTTCAGGTTTTAGGAGTGAGTTTTACAAAAATATTACGAACCTTGGGCACATATGCACAAATACATACCCAACACTACCACTAGCACTAGATTGTCTTTATCCATATGTTGATTTATGTCGCCAGATGATGTCGCTGTTAATGATCAATTTCAAATACATATATATCCACTTGACAAGAAAGCCAATGGCCTTTCTCCATACTGTTCCTGTTTACCGGCTGGCATTACAGGTACACGACAAGGTCTTGTTATCGAGTTGGTGTATTTTGGAGTAATCAGGGAATCGGCATTTTACGGTCAACAACAACTTAAAGGCGATTCCACAACGCGTTACTCTTCTCTGTTATTGTATGTCTTACGGCTTTTTGAAACAGATGAAACTGTCAAGCGGCGCATTAGTCGCAGACACAGCTAATGACGACATCAACCAGAACTACTTAGTGGGGGTTTTTCTATGATCTCGGTGTTATGTAGTCCCAAGGTAGCGCACTGCCGCTGCTGTTGTGTATTGGTATGGCGACAGTGAGAATGCATTCAAACAGCTGTTGGTCTAAGGTGCAAACTACGTAATGTAGACAATTTACCCTGAAATTAAATCAGTACTGTTTCTGGAAACTTTACTGCTGCAACTGCAGAATGCGGGAGAATCCCAATTTTATTTTGACGTTGAAGCATGCGCTCTGGCAAAACCAGGCGCCGTAATCCGGTTTGCCTAACGACCGAGCTCATGTCTGCTGCTGAAGTATGCAAGCAATTTCGAATCATGCCATCGTCGAGGTGAAACACAAAATAAGCCGATCGGGAGAGATGGTAATGGATCTGATTGTGGCTACTGTTTGAATATCCGGGGCCAGTTTGCATTTTTAGTTACTGGGAACACGGTACAATATACTTCCGTTAATTTATTGATGCTTAATGGCAGCTTCCGATGAGCTGTTTCATTACGGGACTAGCAATAGCAATGCAAACTACTTAGAATAACAAATCTGGTCTAGTTAAATCCAATAACTCAGTGATGTTGAAACCGTGTCAGCTTTGTCCACCTTTTACTCAGAAACACGGTGCAGGCATCTTTAAAAGTTACTGACACTGACTGGCCCTAAACAAACATTAATTACTCTGTTGTTGTGGAGTTCTCCGAGCTGGGCAACTTGGTTGCAGACGTTTCACCACCATTCGAGGTGGCATCTTCAGTGCGAGATTGAAAGCAGTTAAGTAGCAGCAGCTGGTGGAAAGCAAACTCAATAATGGTAACGCAACCGGTAGAATCGCTTATCAGCGCTGCAATTCGGTCGGCGAGCAATCTTTCCAGTTTTTGTATTTGTGACTACCGTTTGATTCATCAACACTGCTTGGGTAAATTGGGCTTACATATCCCACATGTACGCAGATAGCATCGCCATCACAGTATGAGCAGCAACCTCTAGAGGAAACGGCACAGCCACAGTGTCTGTTTCAGTGTTCATCAAAAATTTGATGAATCATTTTGAAATGAAATACTGAGTGTGGGTGACTTGACCTACTTAATGTGATATCAGGTGCCTTGGATGTTTCTCAGTGCCTCACTGAGGCAACCACAGCTGTTCCGAATGGTTGCCACAATGTTTACATCAACTTCAGCGGATAACGCAAGCTACCGAAACGAATCACCATCTTTTACCAATCCCCTTCCTTTCCGCACTTCTCCACATGAAAATCACATGGGGCTAGTCAGCATCAGCTGGTGTGCTTTGTCAGCAGAGAATCGATTTTTTATTCCTTTGAGAAAGAAGAATAGTGCGAGTAAAAATATACCCATTCGTACTGGCACATTATAGACCGATGGTGTCCCACCGATACGGAATCAAGCATCTACTATCCATACTGGCTGTGGATGTTAAAGATGCCGTAAGTGTTATATTGTACAAATCACTTTATTGGTATTTAAAGAATCATACTTCTTTTTATCGGGGGTACCAAGTTCTAGTTAACGTCTTTATTGCTGTCTGTAAGCGTTAAAACTGAAGTATCGTTAGTCAGTTGATTTGTTTGCAGTAATATGAAAGTGTGTCTTTCATTCACATTTTACGTGAACTATCAAGTAGTCAGAACAAAACATGCTGGATGCAATAATTAGTGTGTGCAGCTGCACGAAGTGATGATGCAATCTTATTCAACCCCTAGGCCCGAATTAACTTCATTGCCGTTAGCTAACAGTCAATAAGCTGCCAGGTTACGCTGGTTCAAACATACCCAAGCTTTAGAAGTGTATAAAGTGAAACCCCTTACCATAGTTTCCGTGCAGGGCTACATCCCTTGCCGAACTGCTTGGTTAAAACAGGTGAATCACCGCCTAACGACCTGGTGTTGCATGGCGAGCTGAAACGAGAACACAAAACCATTACTCCGTGGATGGAGTGGCTTAAGATGACGGCTGGTGTATGCTCTTAAGCCGAGCGACTACCGTCACAACAAACAGTATGTATCCTTTTGAAGCACTAAACGTCTACAGTGCTATTCCCTTGCGTTCTCCAACTGATTCACTGTCTAGTACTCTAAAAAATAATGTAAGCCCAGCAGTTATTCTTACTAAACAAAATCTAATTCTTCACACATAGACTAGGTTGAGGTAGCTAGTGTTCCCCCCCTAGAATTCCTTTTATTTTTGAGATGTTTAGTGTAATCTGAAACACTTCCTAAAATTCTTAATTTCAAAAATCCCTTGTGTTTCTTCGGAAAACGTTATTGGCTCGTATATCAGACTGCGACAGTCCACACGTCTCGTTACCTTTACTTACGTACGTTGTCCCTTGTAAATTTTCAGGAATTTTTATCGACTTGACCACAGGTCTATTCTTCAGTAATATATATACATATATATGCATATATATATATATATATATCAAATTAATCCCCCTAGTTTGTTATACTTGCTGTGATATTTGCAGACTGCCAACTAAATAATTACTGTTGGTTACACTGAGCCATTGGTGTCTTGTTAGACACTCTGAAATTGCTTCGTGTCATTTCACAAATCATAGGATATCATCAGCAATCTAGTTAAGTTCAGTTGATAAAACTCGATCATATATTACATGCAAAACTCAGATACTGAATCGTAACCGGAATACGCCTAGATTTCAGTATGCCTGTTAGTCACTCATTCCGGTGAAACCCTAGGTGAAGCTGTAGCATTCTTTAAAATACATTCCGCAGACCTTATAACAAGCTTATAACTAAGTATCACAGTGACAAAAGCAGTAATAGAAATCCCAACCGAATATTTTTTATGAATCTCAGTTTTACGTTATGGCACTCTCCCATCCCCGCATTCCACGACCGACGGTTTCGTCTTTCCTACACTCATCAGGTAGAGATTGTCGAGCTGGGAGTGGAACTCGGCGCATGGTGCTTGGCACCTATCGCTAGGATAACTAGGTTACTGAGCTCCACGAACAGTTTGAACACAGCCGTTAGAAGTAGATTTTCGGGTTTTGAGCACCCGCCGTGTGTCTTGGATTGCGACTCGCAATCTCAATCGTAGCCTCGGTTGACTTTGAATTCAACTCATCCTGGCAATAGGCGCCAAGCACTATGCGCCGAGTTTCACTCCCAGCTCGGCTATCTCTACCTGGTGTGTCTAAAGAAAGACGAAACCGTCGGTCGTGGAGTGCAGAGCTGGGAGAGAACCAAAACGAAACCCTCCACTTCGGTGACGGTCCCAGTGACCGTATTGGCAGAGGCTGACTACAAAGTCAACCGGTGCCACGATTGCGATTGTGCTTCGCAAGCCAAGACACACGGCGGGTGTTCCAAGCCCCGAAAAATCTGTATTTGTTATTGTGATTTTTCTTGCGAACATTGATTAATATGACCTCATTTGCTGTAGAATTGCGAAAATAGTTCAATTAGAGGTGAACAAATTAATGTAGCCCTGTTCCTATCCAAATGTTTTGGGTTCGACTTTTGGTCTACTTTTGACTGGCCCACGTTTTCGGTTTGTGATACACCCACTATCTATCATCCCTTGCGGTGGTGGAAATGTAGTTCATGAATGCCGGTTTTCGTAAGTGATCTTATATGGCACTTTCACAAACAAATCAGCAGCATGCTTTTATCCCACTACCATCTGACTCATGTTTACAACTGTTACATTCTATTATTTTCTTAGGAAAGAGTCGTGTCCCCTTCGAAAAGGACATCACAGGCACATCAAAGTAAATCAACAGTAAGTTCCCCGTGTATGGGTTAATGTCGCTCCATCGGTGTAATCGATCGTTTTCACGCGCTTCATTTGGGTACTCTTCGTCGACATCACGTGCTAACACGCTAGCGATTTATATTAAGGTAGGAAGCGAGGAAGGTTTGTACGCTTAGCGTTCTTTTTAGACGGCAAACTGAATGACATTCAGCTACACAGCAACTTTGTGAAATTTGTACACGATCATGTGGCGACCGCAGTATGCAGAGTACATACCGGCTTTCAGAGCCACCAGATGTATGAGTAACAAAAGAACAGGAACATCAACATACGTTTAAGTTGCTCAGATATATAAATAATATAAACGCACACGTCTATGCATACATTTGAGGAGATACACCATACTGTCGCATTAAGTTGTTGCTAACTTATCATTCCCTTCCGAGAAAGCTGGGCTGAATAACTTATAAAGTGCAGAAAGAAGGCTTAAGTTGCAAAATGTTAACAATTCATTTGCTTTCCTCAATCGAGAGCGTAATGCAATTAGGAAACCAACTGGAGTGACTGTGGAATCCAAAGTTTAACAAACCGATCATTCAAAACCAAGCCAATCTAACAGATTGATCCAGTTGCTTTTGCGCATACAGCACGGCGCTATACTTCGAGCTAATTCGGCCTCGGTGATAGCTAGTCAGTTATTTTTCCGGCCGCTCAACAGTGATTGAATAACTTATGTTTTTTTCACCAGTAAAGCCCAGCCGTTTACACGAGGCTATATAGCTTAGCGCAGTCCACATCATGCGATCGAAAATAATGTGGCGATTCCGAAACCTGCAATGGCAACATGTGCAACAGGAATGGCGTGGACGTTACGTACTACGTGCCAGTGATGTGGCACTGGCAGAGGTTACTGCATTTTTCATATAATATTTCTCTCAGTATTCCCCACAAATAGCCATATTTATTTATCTTTTTGAAATGTTTGTAGGTGGCCAGCAAACGCGCCTTAGTAAGTTGCATTTACTTTTCTCCTGCACCAAACATGAAAACAGTAAACACTTTTGTTCCGGGGTCTGATAGCAGCTAGATCATTTGATAATTGTTATAATTGGCGCTCAATTGAAGGAAACGCTTTTCATGTTTACTTCAATCACTCAGAGGCTCTTAGTAGCAAACCTCGTCCTACTAGATGCTTCAGGTCCAATCGAGCTCATGCTATCCCAATCAACTCCTTGGTTTTTAAAACTAACCTCTCTTGAGCTCCCAATAATGTGCGGTCAATCAGGCTGGTCAATAAATGCGTTAAACCTGGATATCCTCCCTACAGTGGTCCCATCATTCGTATCTTCAAATGATAGCGTTTTTGTACGGCCATCAACCCATGGATGATCCCTTCAACCTTGATAGTGATGAACTAAAAGTAGTTGATTGATTCACTTAGCTTACTAGCTGTCTCAACAGCAATTGACGGGTAGCCACTAAAAGCATTTCAATTAGTACTAAGGCTTGAAAGGCTTTCTTGAAATTGCAGCATCTGTGGTGTCAAAATGAGGTTTCCCTCGGTCTAATAGGTCGTGTTTGCGAGGCCACAGTGAGGGCCGTTCTACTCGATGGGAATCCATCTTGGCCTCTTCGGTCTAAGCATTGGGTGCGCATTCAACTCCATGATTGTAGCTAATAGCGAATGACATCAGCGTACCCGGAGAGGGTTACATTGAATTTCGGATTGGGGTCCGCGTGACCCGCCATATGCTTGGCTTTGGACATTGCAGACCGCCTATATGAAGTGTGTTTGGCGCCGAATTATCTGTGGGGTAATGGCAGATAATGACGTGTGATAGTGAATGCCACAAGGAATCTGTCATGCTGCTGCAGCCTTATCTTTGCGCGATAACCAGCTGTTTGTTACGGTGTTTCTGGCAAGGTGTCTGCGCACTGACCCTGAACGTTTGTTTGGGGCGTTAAGGTCCCCCTTCCCTCCCCCTTATTACTCTTAGTTCAGTAGGTTATGGTGTTTGTACGGCAGTGAAGCAACAGTTTAAATAGTTAAGGTACTGTTGTTGTTGTTGTTGTTGTTGTTGTTGTTGTTGTTGTTGTCTTCGTCGTCGTTGTTGTTGAAACATTATGGATTTCTTAATCTCGACATTTTGAGGTTTTTGCCAGCAAACTACATAAGTCCGTCACAAAACACTAGAATGTATTGTGGTGTGAAATTTGGTTACTCCAGGAATCCAAGGGCTACGCCGCGTAACAAGTTTTACATCCGTTTACGGCGACTCACATCAATCAGATAAATAACCATAGATTAGACAGTTGCTGCAACCACAAGGCGATGTGGATCACGAGGTGAAGCGGAACCCTGCAGCGTTTAAGGCAGCTCGCGAAGGCTTGTCACCGAGTGGGTACACCGAATAGTAAGTCTTGTCTGATACGCCCAGTTGTCAGTGAGTAAACATTCGAGAAATTGTGCCCAATGAGGTCCGTATCTGTCGCGTAGGAATTCACGTTTGTATGGAACACAGAATAATCAACAACAGACAAGACATTCTCCACTACATTTAACGGAGAAACCATTAGCGTTTTGCGTGTATATATGTGTATTGTCCCTCAGCCAGTGTGACATCCCTTATCGTGAAAGCAGTTGCCACAGTTCAGATTGAAAACGGTAGGTTTGTTTGAGAACGCGGGTCGATCGTATAGGTAGGGTCTCGGTTGCTTCTCAGTACTGTTCGTTCCCAGTTGCTATTTGACTGCGTACAGTTCGGAGGCTGTCTCTGATGATGTATCTGAACTTCTGGGCGAAAGTGGTCCGAGTGCACATGAATAAGGCGGCAGTCTTGCAGCTGAACTTAGTTTTGGCCTCCCGAGGAGGGAAATACGGCGGCACGCTGCCGGTGGGTTCCATGTAGCAATATGCTATAGACCAAGTCATTTCCCGAAAAAATGACATCCCTCTTCATCTCTTCTAAGGACACTGAGCTCTTCTATCGCTTCTCTTTTCAGTTGCGAGTATTTGAAAACAGCAGATACAGCCTCGTCCAGAGATTCCTGATAAACATCAGCTTTGCAAGAGACGGGCCCGTACTCCCAGTGAGCGTGGAATGATAGGCAAATAAAAACCGATCCAGTTATATTGTTTCGACATTTCTCACCTCACTGTCTGTACTGTTAGCTGCGCTAGCGCCTTTGACGGAGCAGATAAGGCAACGATTTTACATGTTGAATACCGTCGTTAGGGTCAATTTGATTGACCTGGGGACTAACAAAAGGGGATCCATTAATCACCCACACAGTCTCCGGAATACCGGATGTGGTGGATGTTGAACGCACCTTAACAATACCGGTTTTGGATGTCGCCCGTGTAATGGATTACACTTCAATCCACTTGGCGTAGGCATCAGTGGTTAGAAGAAACATGATCCTATTGAGCAAGACGAAGTAGTCGACGTGGTTCAGTTGTCACGGTTTATCGGGCCAATGCCAAGGATCTAATAGAACGAGGGGCTAACAACGAGGGGCATTCAATAAATAAGGTGAATTTGTCGGCATAAGGACTTCTAATACAGATAAACCTTACTTCTTTTATTTTGCAACGTAGTCTCCCAGCACTGTCACACACTTTTCCCATCTGTGTGCAAGCTTCCGTATTCCCTCAGCGTAAAAATCTTTGGACTGATTTCTCAGCCAGTCGCTCACAACACTTTTGACTTCATTGTCAATTTTAAACTTCGTGCCTCTCGTGAACGCTTTCAAAGGACCAAACAGGTGAAAGTCTGAAGGGACAAGGTATAGGTTGTAAGGGGGATGAGGGAGCAGCTCCCAGTCCAGCTCCTTGATGGTCTGCACCGTTCGGGCTGCTGTGTGAGGCCTTGCGTTGTCATGATGCAGGATGACTCCTTCTGACTGATGACCTCTGCGTTTGTTCTTTATGTCTTTCTTGACCTGCCTCAGCAGTTCACAGTAGTTGTCACTGTGCACAGTGCTTCTTTTCTCAAGAAATGTAATGGTGATTGAGCCTTACATATCCCAAAAAACGGTGAGCATCACTTTCCTCGTGGACCGCTGGGACTTGAACTTATTCTTCATTGGACAGCCTACGTCCTTTCACTTCATGGACTGCCGTTTAGACTCAGGCTCATATTGGCAAACCCATGTCTAAGCACATGTGACCACCTTCTTCAGAATCTCATCACCCTCCTTCTCACAGCGGCTGAGACTGCTGGCACAACTCGACGCTCCTCTGTTTGTGCTCTGCAGTAAGCACCTTTGGTATCCACCGGCAGCTGACCTTCGAGTAACCAAGGTCACCATGGACAAGTTCGTGTGCTGTCGCAACATATAAGCAATGTCATCCACTTCCACACTTCTGTCCGGCTGAATGAGGTCATTGACTGATTCGATCACCTCAGGAGACCTCACTTCTGTAGGCCTCCCAGGCCTATCTTCATCCTCAACACTGCTCCGTCCTCCTTTAAACAATTTTGCCCACTTGTAGACATTTTTCGGCTGAAAGAGGTGGCACCATACACAGTTGACATTTTCCTATAAATTTCAACTGGTTTGCACTCTTCAGCAACCAAAAGCTTGATAACTGACCGCTGTTCAATCCTGGAGCATGCTTCTTGATCGGCCATCTTTGTTAACCGCTAAAACGCTTAAAGATTTTTTCAATCTGTGAAAGAAATTACATCCACCTTAAAAAGAAGTTAAACCACAAAATAAAAATGTAAGCTTCTATCTGAATTAGAAGTCCTTATACCGAAAAATTCACCTTATTTATTGAATGACCCTCTTACAATAGTTTGACTGACAGGTATAACAACGCATCAGCATGTTTTCGATATCTGCATCTATCCTTGCTTATCAGTGTGCTATTGCACTGAGGATGTCAAACTGATTAATGTTGAACCATCTGTAATCAAACCGCCAAGCTCAGCGAAAAGTTCAACCGCCCTCAGAACTCACAATTAGACTTTCCCAATGTAAGTCCGTTTTGAGCCAATTGTTTATGTACAACAGTGAGCATCCGGGTTTGTTCTTTCGAAGATGAGAATATCATCCAAATATGCATAAAGTATAGTCGCTATCAAATCATTGATAATTCTCCGAAAGGTACCAGGCGTGGAATGGAAACTAAACACAAACGGGTGTAATGATAATGTCCGATTTCTTTAGTGAATGTAGTACTGGCTGGAGAAGGCCCATTAGGCTCTGTTCGTGAGCATGCGTGACTAAAGTCAAGTTTGTTGAATTTTTAAACAGGTGCATTTTTGAAGCATAAAAGTCTTCAATGAGTGGTAATATATGTCTTACTATCATGAAAAACTACGAGACTCATTTTGTAGTTGTCACAAATTCGCACGGAACCATCCGGTTCGTTCACCGGTACAGTTGGCTTTCTCCAGCTGGAAAATGTCACGAACAGTTTAACGCCCTCAGTATGCAAGCACTCTAATGTTTTCTGCCGCATCGCACACGGTCGCGTCCGTGCTAAGATAAATTTGGGCGAGGCACTTTCCTTCAGTCTTACTGTGGCCCGAAACTCGTTCATCTTTCCAAAATCTATAAAATTCTCTGTGGTTTCGAAATATCTTCCAGTTCAACGACTTCACTAACTGTTTTAAGAGCATCTAACGTAATAAGAAATGCGTCTATCCAGTCTCGCCCGAGTACCGTTGGTCCATCTTCGCATATGACCTAAATAGGAACATTGTGTGTCGCAGCGTCGTATGGCGTCTGGACAAGGCAGTCAAAGATAACGCACGTTACGCTCACCTGCAAACGTTCGCAGGTTAGAAATGCATAATGGCAAGGGAAGTAAGTACTTCAAGATGTTTAACACAGTGTGAATTTCTCTGTGTGCTTTCTGTGCGTGGGTTTAGAGCCCCACAACCTATGGCATGGTGAGTGGACACGGTATTCAACCACAGGGATTTTAACTGATTCGTTCTCTTCATAACGATCTACCACTGTGATTGATTTCCCTCCTATTTAATACCATTCCGAATGAAGCTTGACTGGCTTGCACACTCCCGCCAAAGGACCCGCCATTTCACCAATTCTGTACACTGTGTCCTGGTGTCTGTA